AGCCTGCTCCAAAAACACACTTGTCTCCTAACCCAAAGAACTGCAGGTACTGCAGAAGGCAGGTTATGAACTGGGAGTCCTTTGGTTATTCTCTACAAGCCCTGCAATGGAAATGCAATGCAGAGTCCCCTCTCCCCTGGAAGGAAATCACATGCCTGGGGCAATGACTAGTGAGTAGTCCATGTACAGTTCACACACCTCAGTGTTCTTACCAAATTCCAAAACCAAAGAAGATGGGTACAATTGGAAAAATAAATAAAACTGAAGGTATCGAGGGCCTTGAGCTGTTCAGAGGCAGGTCAGTGCTAACTCCATGCCATTAAAGAGACTCTGGGCATAAGTAGATCTCTGTTACCATCGGGGTGATGAACCAGCTGGTCCTCTGAGAACTCACGTGTTTTACTCTTTATATTCTCACCACAAAGGAATCAAGCAAAAGGTATTTTAGAGTTGAGAGCAGCAGTCCCCTCCACATATAAATAAACCCCCGTTTCATCCAAGAGGCTTTTACAGATACCTGAACTAGTACCCAAAAGTGCAGAGGACCTTCCCCTGGGCACAGGGCTGGACAGGTGATGAACACACCTATATAAGCACCAACACCACACATTCACCCCCATCAGACTCTACTGGTCACCTGTGGTCCCACAGAAGTGATGACACAGCTCCCTGTGAAGCTCAGAGTTCAACAGTTCAGGACTAGGGGCAGGCAGCCCTTGGGAGCGCCCTGTTCCCAAGATCTCCGGTAGGAAACAGCAGAGCTGAGCAAAATGACCTGGGAAGGTCTGCTGGACACTCCTCTGGGACAGGTTAGCACAGGCAGCACGGACTGATAAAGCCACCAGCTTTTAAACAGAGCCTGAATAACTCCAGGAGGAAGCTCCCTGGCTTGCAGAAAGGATTCCCTTTGGCCACGGACACCAGCTCATCCCAAAGGCACAGCATTGTGGCTCCCGGGTGAGCAGAAGCTCCACAACAAGCAAAGCCTCTGCTCAGGGAGAGCCATCTCCCCTCCCTCCTCTCCCCCCAAATTGCATGACCATAACCACGTTCCCAGCAGGAGTTTCTAAGGAAGGATCGCTGATACTATCAGGATCAGCGGCTGTCCCAGCAGAGAAGCAGGAATAACTTGTTTAGCACTTCTGAGGAGCCATGCTGCAGGCTGGGAGAAAATTCCTGCTTTTCACAAGGGTCCAGAAAGTTTCTCCCATTTTAGGATTTAGCATCGATTTAGGAGAGTGGAAAAAAAAAAAAAAAAAAAAGTGCACTTTGTTTTAAAGAGCATCTTCATCCCAATCAAGTGCAAGAGAAGAAGTTTTGAATTTATACGCAGTACAGCTTTTGCACATGACTCTTCCTTGAATGTAGCACCAAAAGAAATTGAGGAAAAGGAAAATCTACCAGCCCAGGCAGGGAAAGCTGCATTCCTGTTAGTGCACTGAAAATGCACTCGCTCCACTCGGAACTCTAAGAATGCAGCCCAGATTTTTTTTTTTTTTTTTCCACTAGAATTTGAAAAGAGTAAATCAAAGTAATTATAGCACTGCCCTTACAGAATTGCTTTGCAAAGCTGAAATCAGAGCTTCAAAAGGTTTTTTCACTAGCAGCCAGCGAATCCAGAGAAGCAGAGATGCCTACTTGGGCAGCTGCACTAGCCCCAAGACGTGCTTCGGGAGCCACTTCCACATGGGAAAAGAGCCTGGGTTGAATTAAAGCAGCTTATAAAGCCTATATTTGTATCTCACTTCCCCCAGCCCCTATTACCTACACATCTGCATGAAATCAGGACCATGCCTTCCGAAAGGTTCCCTGGCTTCTGCACCCCACACTTGTGTAACATTTATTGTCCAAGAACTCCAGAGCAGAGACAGACAGTTCATCACTCCTGTGCTATAGGGAAATGGAAGTAGGATTTAATGAATAAAGGGCCAGCAGTGGAAGCAAGAGCTGAACGTGGGTGCTTTGGCTTTTGAGAAGGTTTAGTGCCCC